CGTATTTCGTCCATCCCATGCACTTTCTGTCCCAAATTTTTTCTGGACCTACCGAATAGAGCTTCCTGAAATTTGTTATCAGGCTTCATGTCAACATGCTTTACTGTTTAATGCGGTTTCAGATTCATCGACCCGAAACATCCTGTTAACCGAATACTTAATATCCTAACACATAATAGCCATGTTAGAAATTTCCGTCGCATTTTTCTCATCTCAAACTAAAATCAGAGCATAGTGAAATTAGTCATTAGGCTGCACGTGAACATGCTATACCGTGTAATACGGTTTTAAATTTACCAATTTTTAACTTCCTGTTAGCCGAATACTTATATACCCAAACACATAATGGCTATGATTGCAATTTTATCATGTGGTCGCCATGTGCCTCTGTAGTTCAGTCAGCACACGTTCATAAATAAATACATAATTAACGTCCCTTTATGACGGAACACCTCTCTTGTGTTAGTTAAACAACCAAATATGACCTCAAAGGTTTAAATAATTCTGAATACTCCCTGACAATATTAAAAATTATCAATTTCTTTTGGTTTTATATTTGAGTTCAATGGTCTTCTTCCTTCCTCCTTGGATCCAAATTGAAACAAAGGCTCGTTACGTCAGATTTTAAGGTTAAGTAACCACCAATAACATTATGGTTTACTTAAACTCACTAATAACCAAACAAAGCATATATGATACAGCGCAACGTGATAACCGAATTTAAGTTCAAGACTTCAATTCTATTATTTCAAGGTTCCACTTTTATAAGTTCTTGAAACAAAAAGAATCGTATTTTGAAATTTTTATCTAACTCGTAGCTAATGCCCCTTTAATAATTTGAAGAGAAAAGGAAGTTAATCATTTCATTTATGAATTTCATGGACTATAACTGTACAGTCGCAATTTTATTGTGTTATATATAACTAACGGTACTTTTTTGTATTATTGACGTTCCTAGAAAACGAAGATTATAAACGCATACATGTAAAAGAATTAATAATGAAGGAAATATTATTTTTCCTTTATAAAACTACAGGGGAAACAGATGAGGAGACAATCTGTTGTAACAGTGATATACCAAATGGAATCAGAAGATATTCAAAACAATGAAAAAAAGACCTTGATGAATATTTTTTTCTATTGTGATATTTTTGTTACTTCATTTAGGCCTGTAAATTATCATTATCGGAAAATCTTGTCAGGCGTATACATTTAGATACATTATTATCATTAAGCTATTAGATGGTTCAAGAAATAGTCATTAAAGCTTGAAGAGTCGTCTCTGATCATGAATGAAACATCACGCAGTCATGTCATATCACCTTTCTAATCAAACTAAAGAGAAAATGACCATACATTACTTGAATACAACAATAAGAACTTGACGATAAAGAAACTGTTCAATGAATATTAATGAACAATATTTAGAATTTTTTTTGATGCATGAAACAGGTGATATTTAAATGACACACAATCTATCTGAAATTATTTTATAAATTTTAGGACCGTTTCTGACAAACTTGGCACATGAAGGACATTTATATGAGTGAAAAAATTAAAAGTTCGTTTTTTGTTCTTTCCTGTTGACATTTAACTTGTATGTTGTGTCATGCTGCTACTACAAATAGTGACAGAAAAAAGTCTTTGAAATCACTTTCTTTGAGGAATAAATAATGATCTTACAAGATTTAATTTCACATGTGAAATTGTCAATATATATTACATAAATCTGACTGCACTAGGTTATTATTTAAATGCAGGTTATCGAACTCATGGTGTTGAAAATGATTAAGGTGATGTTAAACATGCATACAAAAAGATTTGACAACAGTTTTATCTTAAAACATAATTAATCTTACAATTTATTTCTCACTTTTTTTAATAACAATAAAATGACAAATCATATTCCATTTATCAAGCCTAAAAGTTTTTAATATAAGACAGAATAGATTTTATTTTTATAGCACGTATTGTGTTTACAAATAATATACCTTGATAAAGATGTCTGTTTAGCATGCACAATGAGTTTATAAAATTTTTATTTAAGGCAGGATTGATTTTATTTCTATAAAACACGTTTTGTGATTTTTATGAAAGATGTCCGTTGAGCACGATGCGATGCTAAAAAAAACTTTTATTTTAAATATTTGCCTCCTAAACATTTTCTGATGAGGTATGCATCCTGTCACCAGCTTAAAAATTGTTGTACAGATACATGTAGATATGGAAAAAAAGTTTCCTTTATTATACCCCTGTTTGAAGGGAAGGGCTATGTATACTGTTTTACACCTGTCAATCCGTCCGTATTTCGTCCATCCCATACAATTTCTGTCCCAAATTTTTTCTGGACCTACCGAATAGAGCTTTCTGAAATTTGTTATCAGGCTTCATGTCAACATGCGTTACTGTTTAATGCGGTTTCAGATTCATCGACCCTAAACATCCTGAACGGCAAAAATTGATCAGCAAGAAATGATACACAAATATGTCAACAAAGCCAAAACTGTCAGTCCACTCTTATATGAGTTATTGCCCCTGAACGATGACTTTTTTTCAAAATTATGTGTTTTTGAAAAAAAAGTATAGTAGAAAGATGGAAACCAAATACACAAAAAATATAAGCAATACAAGATCAACTTAAAAGAGATTTTAGTTACTAGTTATATTCTAGTCTTCAATGTTTGAAAGGGATGAAGATGCAGGTAGATCCAGGTGAGCCACACAGGCTCTTTAGAGCCTCTTTTCCTGCAATGTTACACTATTTGGGGAGTTCGTAGGGTGCATGTTGCATAACAAAATTTTCTGTAACTTCCCATATAATCATTCTTTTTTAAAAGACAGTCTAAAGCTGACATCCCTTACATTCGGGTTGACACACTTTGCAGAACCTACTTCCTGTTTTTCTTTATTAGTTATTGTCGTTAATATCTATGACATACTTGAGTCTTCGTGCTAAGCAAATAATAAGCAACTCTTAAATGAGTTCAATCAGTCATTGAAATTTTGCAACACATATCAAAATCGTTTTATTATTTATACTACTAACTACTAGATATCTATAATACTAAAATAACGAGGTCCAATTTGTAAGCCGGCATGGAGTAAAAACGACGAATCAAAGTATTCAACTTTATATAACTAATATAGGACAATGATGTTGATTAAAAATTACACCATTACAGACCCTTTTCTTTTCCACATAATTAATATTACCAATAATTAACAAGTTCCGGGTCGAAACCGATACCGGTATCAATAGTATATGTTACCTGTTACCTATTACCTAATCTGTACGTTCCGCATTTCTCAGGAGCACCACCAAACGGTGTATTTGGGATTTGCTATATGCACGGGTCATAATTACACATTAAACAGGGTTGACACTACTTAGTTCAATCATTGCCACATTGTTTCCGGTTGTAGTATTTTAATCAGCATGACTCTATAAGATGACAATACGAATACTTAAAAATCCAGACTTAAAATAAGGCGTAGGTACAATAATAAGTTCCAGGTCGACGGGTTCAAACAGAAATAATTTGAAAGCAGAGAAAACCGTGCATCTTATAATCAGCATGACTTTATCAGATGACAATACCAATACTAAAAATCCAGGCTGAAAATAAGGTTTATAATAATAAGATACTTTAATTCAGTCACGGACTCGCGATGTCGCGGGTGTGTTCTAGTATCATTTAAAGTTGCAAGATCGTCTACACGTTCTAACAAGACAATGTTTCTCCAATTAGAAAGATAAACGTAGACACTAGTGTCTTGGCACGACCATAAAAATCCGACTTTGTCAATAACACAATCGATTCAAATAAAAATTAAAATAGTAGAAAATTGTGAAAAATGCTAAAACTTTTGATCGATAACATCTTTGGAGAGTATGGTAGATTAATATTGCAATACATTTTCGGGTCTTCAGTGGATTCTTATCAAGCCCTGATATATCCAAATTTTTATTGTACTTGTATAAAGAATATTTCGATTGGTCATGCATGCAGCTTTATAAATTGATTTCTAACAAAACGATGCAAAAAATGTCAAGAAAAAAAGTTTAATCTAACTAAATCTACCACATTTATCCAAGGAAATATTTCATATTTGTAGTATTACTAACATAGCACCTTAATATTTCAATGTTGTGTAAGTATTCGAACAGTATCTGCGTCTGAGGGACAAACAATATTATTAAAAGAAAGTTGGAAGTTACCAAAGGAATATTCAAGCTAATAAGTCGATGCCATACTGACATTCCCAATGCAAAAAAAACGAAAATCGACAAAAAAACAAACAGCAGTATACAAAACTTAACATAGAAAACTAAAGACTGAGCAACACGAACCCAACCAGCTAAACACGGGAGTGATATTAGGTGCTTCAGGAGGCGAAAATGTTTGATATCAACATTATTCGATAATTATTTATTTTGTTTATACCAAAAGGATATCACCAGCCCAGTAGTCAGAATTTCTGTGTTTACATGAATTATGCATGATTGATATGGTCATAACTATAAATTAACTATTTACAAAATTTCGATTTTTCGAAACTACTTAGGATTTTCTACCCCATGAATTTATTATTTTAGCTGTATTTGGCAAAACCTTTCGGAATCGTGGGCCCTCAATGTTCTTCAACTTCTTACCTTATTTGGCCTTTTAAATTATTTTTTTTTATTCGAGCGTCACTGTTGAGTCATTTGTAGACAAATCTCGCGTCTGGCGTACACAATTTTAAGCCTGGTATCTATGATGATCTATGAACAAAATAAAATGTTTTTATGCTTGATCAATTTCAGATGAATCGCAGACGGAAAACAATATTTGAGCGTATTGCGTTATGGTCAAATGTAACCTGAAAGGCCAAATATATATATATATATATATATATATATATATACATTTAATTTATTTTAACGTGAAACAAAGCATGGGAAACGACCTATCGTATGAACGAAAATTGAACTTCTTATTCAAATTTATTTTACACAAAAGGCTGAAATGCAAATAAAGTATTTATGAATGAGGGAAAAGCAAAAAGGCAGAGAATGTACTATAATCAGCGCCATGGACATCACCATTTCCGTTTGTACCAGTTCGAACCAGAACTTCTTCACCTTTGTTTACCTGAAAAACAAAACATTACACACCGTGATACACATTTTGCATTCATGTATAGCAACTCCGTCACAGGTTAATGCGACAAGGAATTACTTTTGGTACCAGTCTTGTATTACAACTCCAGTTTCCGGTACATGTTAAAACATGGAGTGAAATAAATAATCCATTTTCTCAGAATTTTTTTCTGTTCGATTAAAAGTGTATGCTGAATTGAAACATCTATCTGGATGTAAAAAGCTTTTTTGGAACATCAAACCAGATAAGTGGAAGGATATCACGTATATTGAACATGGTGCGGACTCTCAAAAACAGCAAACAGAAAGTAGAAAAAAGTAGATTTGAATACAAGGTTCCATACCCTTTTATTGTACGTGGCATGATGCACTTTTTACACATTAATCACAATTTCACATTACTACATTATATGATATGTACATGGAAAACAATTTTCTATGTATCATTCTATCTTTAAAAAAAATATTTAAAGATTAGCTGTTCTGCATGTAAGCCTATGAAGCAGTCAATTACAATATTGCAACCTTTATTGGTTGTATTCGTGACTATGTCTTGATTGCAGATCTTTGAAAGAATTCAGGTTCATGAAAAGGTATATTTTGTTGATCAAAATTTCATACTTAGTGGACGAAATTTGGAAAGAAATGAAATATTTATAAGTTCAACAAAATACAAGATCAACAAAAAAGATATTTTAGCTACAAGTTATATTCTAGTCTTAACCCCGCCGCATGTTTGCGCCTGTCCCAAGTCAGGAGCCTCTGGCCTTTGTTAGTCCTGTATGTTTTTTTTTAAATTTTAGTTCATTCATATGTTTTGGAGTTTAGTATGACGTCCATTTTCACTGAACTAGTACATATTTTTATTCAGGGGCCAGCTGAATCCCGCCTCCGGGTGCGGGATTTTCTCGCTGTGTTGAAGACCCATTGGTGGCCTTCGGCTGTTTTCTGCTCTTTGGTCGGGTTGTTGTCTCTTTGACATATTTCCCATTTCCATTCTCAATTTTATTCAGTGTTTGAAAGTGGTCATTGATGAAGATGCAGGTAGATCCAGGTGAGCCACACAGGCTTTTTGGAGCCTCTATTCCTGCAATATTAAACTCGTTGGGTATTTCGTAGGGTGCATGTTGCATGACAAAATTTTCTGTAACTTCCAATATAATCATTATTTTTTAAAAAACAGTCTAAAGCTGGCATCCTTACATTCGGGTTGACACACTTCGCAGAACCAACTTACTGTTTTTCTTTATTAGTTATTGTCCTTTATACCTATGACATACTTGAGTCTTGGTGTTAAGCAGATAATAAGCACCTCTTTAATGAACACATATCAAATCGTTCTTTTATTTATACGATATATATATCATTTCAAGTTGTAAGATCGTCTACACGTTCTAACAAGAGAATGTTTCCCCAATAAGATCATTCTATCTTTAAAAAATTAAAGATCAGCTGTTCTGCGTGTAAGCCTATGGAGCAGTCAATTACAAGACTGAAACCTTTATTGTTGGTATTCGTGACTCTTGTCTTGATTGCAGATCTTTGAAAGAATTCAGGTTCATAAAAAGATATATTTTGTTGATCAAAATTTCATACTTACCGGAATTTGAAAAGATATGAAATATTTTATTGTCAGGTGTTATCAAGGCCTCCTAATGTTTACCATTATATATGGAATAGCGCACCTATATACGATTATTGATAAACTTTGTACACATTTTGCTAAGTCTTATGACAATTCAGAGCTTGCCAAATGTTTTGGATGCGTGTCTTTTCTAGAAGTCCGACTTCTAACCTCAAAATGTCAATTTGCATTAAACCAGTATTGTTTATTTCTGTATCGATGTTTACCTTGAAAGTCCTTTCATTAATTATTATAGCGTTAAATATGCAAAACCTTAGCAAGAAAAAAAAAAACTCATATAAAGACTTTCAATGGGAAAAATATCTACACCCAGTCAGTGTCTGCATCAAAACAACCACATTTGTCTTGATATTACGGGTCAAAAATAGTTTCCATTGATTGAGATGTCACATTGTATCATATATAAAACAGCTGGTCCGAGGACACAGTTATCGTCCTTTGATTTTCGTTGTCTAAAAATATAGTCCCTAGTGTGTTCAGTGTATAACTTGCCAATTTTTTTCAAACACTTTCCAAATTTATTTCTTTATACTTAATGCATGAAATATTAAGTAGGGGGATGAAATTACATGGTAATAAAATTTGGGTGATGAATTTTTATGTAAAGTAGTGATTTGGTCCAGTTAAAAAAGGTCAAAATTTAGTATGCCTGAAGCTGTCAAACTGAATTATAGACCCCCTTAACATATAATTGTCCATATTTTGAGTTAGAGCTGGTAGGATTTTCTTTAAATTTGATATTATTTGTCCCAAAAGTAGTAAACTACACTGTAAAAATCTTTTTGAGATAGAGCAGGTGCGATTTTTTAAATTTTAATTTATTGTCTAAAAGAAATGCGCTACAAAATAACTGTGTCCTCGGGCCAGCTAACAGCTTTACGTGCGTCTTGCGTACATAATTTTAATCCAGGTATCTATGATGAGTTTATTTACAATTACCTGCAAGACAACAGTCTGAGAGGCACTGCCATAATCACCGTCCCCACCCCTTGCAGTGTCGGCGTAGGACGAAGCTTTAGCTACATCATTGACCATCAGCTCTGTTGCCTGAGCCTGCTTATAATTGACGTTAGCTGTCCAGGAAATGACGTACATACCGGAAACTGGAGCGGTGAAAATACCAGTTGCTGTATCATAAAGGGATGCTGATGTATTTGTTACAAGCTGAAAAAATTTAGTCGAATCCCTTTATCTGAGGTAAAACAACCATCAATTTTCCTATAAACTTACATAAATATTTCCAGACCTATACTACTGACTGGTCGCAAAGTTTATAATTTTATTTGTTTAAATGACCCTGTGAGAATAAAAGGGAAATATCAAACAACAATAATAAAGCCTACGAAAAATCCATATCCTTAAAAAATATGATTTATATTAAACGTTTCATAATAGAATCTGCAAAGATGAAACTGATAATGTCGATTCAACATCTTCAGGTCTCCAAAGAAAAACAAATAAAGTGTCTTTTTGTAAACTCCGATCTACATTCTCTGTTGGACACCTGACTGGTAGTAGTTCTAGGAGAAAAGATGCAATTATTAAAGGTAAGAATAAGAACCTTTCCGATCAAAATATTTTATACAAGTAAAATTTGGTATTGTATTTTTTTTTATGAAAGTTGATTCTTTATATAGTTAGGTTTTACCTCTATATAAATTGCAACGTTGTATAACAGTTTAATGCACTTTGCCTATCTTTATATGTAATTAACTTAAAAAATGCTTAAAACAAATATGAATAACTTACTTCATCGAATTTGATGGTTTGATGAGGACTCAATCCATGAAGACTCCCAGACAATTTGGCATAGAAAGCAACCTGCGATTCAGTGAATGCTCTTCTGTGATCTAAAGAAAGTTAACCTATTAAAGTGTTTTATTTTTGGTGAGTAAAAATTTCTCGATTTCTAGGCCCAAACCTGTTCGCAAAGTTTTCGTATCCCTGAATCTGATCTTCATTCAAGATCAAATTTACATGTTTGCACGGACTTCAATCTTTAGATACAAGTATAGTCGTCCGATCTGTAATTTTACTGATTGTGTTTTATTCCCAAATGTGACTGAGTGTTAATTCGCATGACTGGTGATGCATACCTAGCAGAAGACGATTACCCTGTCAACATATGGGTCAATATCCCTAATGCGCCTCCAATTGAGGAACACAAAAGTTGTGTGTAAACAAAAAATCTCTGTGTAGTGATATTGGACATGTTTCTATTTTTAACAAGTGACTGAGCTTAACCATTTGTGTTGATCTGGAAAGTATAGGACCATAGAATAAATGTGTAAAAACTATGGAGTTATTATATGTATTCAAAGTATTAAATTTTCAAAGAAATTATTGTGTGAAAAAAAGGGACTTTTTACCATGAAGAGCCGCATCACGAAAAGATTTTCGGGGTATGCTAATTTACGGAAAAATGAATCACACTTCGTACCCCGAAAATTTAACCACATATGTGAAAATGTCTCAGCTTCGAAACGAGCCATCATACATATCCAAGTTTACGATATGGACTGAGCTACAGAAGAAAAGGTTACCATTACCGCCTATGGGGAACAATTGCGCATATTGCCCCATATACAGTCTCGGTCCTGTGGGAGTTCATGCGATTTTCTAAGTTTCTATTTGTTACCATGATTTTCCCTTTTCTTATCGATTTACAAGATTTGTACATCGGTAAACTACCGCCACCTTAATTTACGAAAGCTGCAAGGTAATATTTTTGCGATGTTTTCTTGATAGAAAAATCAGTATAGAGAATACATTCTTCTATTTCAAGGTGAGTTAATTGTTGAAATTGCAAATAAATAGATATTTGATTGGAAATTAAAAATAAATAAAAATATAAGTAGCTAACTTTATTATCCAAAGTGCTACAAGATATCCCTTATGTTAACATGAGGCATTGTATTAACATTCTTATGATTAAAATTTTCATGTTGCTCGAAACCAAATATTGAATTGAATGAATAAATACATAAGCCCGTGGTTATATCATGGCGGACAGATTTAATGGTGGAGAACCTGGAGAGAACTACAGACCTTTGGTTGGAACACGCATATAAACCTCTAGCTAAATGTCCAACTTACAGAATTTCCAAACTATTTACATATGTAAAACAGGTTAGATCCAGTTTCCTCAGCTCACGGTCTTTTTCTGTGTTGTTTATTCGTAAATTTTATTATTGAATTATCAATATTCATTTGAATTGTTCGAACGCTAGCTCAGCTGACCATTCTTGTTTAAAAAATCAAATGTTAAAGCAGAGGTGGTAAGATCTTACCCTGTCACACAAACTTCTCCATATTGTCATTGGTTTCGATTTTATTACTCAATTGTGTGATATTTGGTTGCATAATGAGTAATTTTATCTTGTTTAAATCCGTTTTTTGTTTAACTTGAGTTGTTGCTATTACGCAGTGAATGCTGGATAATTTCATCTTAGTATTTGTGTCTGAACAACTACAGTGCTAACTTACCCTCATGGCTATCGCTTAGCTCCCTGATAATTTCCTCATTGTATTTTTATCTGACCAACTACAGTGCTAACTTACCCTCATTGCTATCGCTTAGCTCCCTGATAATTTTTTCAGCAGAAGTCAATCTGTCGGCATATTCAATGTTCGTTTCCTCTGTTGATTCCAATTTAGACTCTAAATCCTCCACTAAAGCTTTCAATTCCTCATACTGATGCTCAAACAAATGAATTACAGCATCTTCTTTGTTTTGCACTGGCACAAGGGCACTTGTTAATGGAATTAAAATTAGCAAACAAAACCCAAAATGCATGGTTAAACAGGTGATTGATATAAAGTCACAACGTTATTGTCTCACAATCAAGATAAGAAGACATCATACAAATATACTATATAGTGCAGAGGGATTGTACGTAACGGGACATTTCTTAACCTCGGATTTTCTAAGTAGGTCACAAACCAAGTGATAAACCTTTATGTATAAGCAATTACTACAAAACGGTGATGATAATGATGATGATGATGTTGACTCTTAGCTATAGTCACAATATTATATGCGCTTTTTTAACGTACCCAACGAATCTTATTGGGAAGCCGCCTACATGAAAAAATGAAATGAATGCATGATACCATTTGTATGTAAAGATTTTTTGAATGTGTCCATGAAATTATTCAGATTGGGTTAAATGTTGTCTCGATCTATTCATGGAGAAATTTTATAACAAGTGAAAATGGTATACACACACCGATAACTGTACACCCGCACACTTCAACAATAGGGAAATGTCTATATCATATGTGAAGCTCTTAAAATCCAGGGTCTGAACAGGTTGTAGTCAGCATCATCATTACCATGCCATTGCGTTGTCAATATAAAAATAAGGAGATGTTGTGTGATTGACAATGAGACAACTATCCACCAAAGTTCAAATGAAGTGGATGTAAACAATTATAGGCAACCGTACGGCCTTCAACAATGAGAAAAACCCATACCGTACGTATGGTCGGCTATAAAAGGCTCCGACATGAAAAATACGAAACAATTCAATTGAGAAAACTAACTGCCTAATTTATAACAAAACAATTCACGAAAAACAAATATGACAAACATGAACCAACAACAACCACTGAAGTACAGGCTGTCTTACACTTATGAGTTTGAATATTCCTTATGAATCTTCCGCATATCTTCTAAACCTTTCGGGATTTTGGATGCTTTTCAACTTCGTACATTTTTTGGCCTTTTAACTTTTTTGATGAGAGCGTCACTTGTGAGTCATTTGTAGATTAAACTCGCGTCTGCCGTGCAAAACTATAAGCCTGGTATATGTGATGAGTTATTTTAGCATCAGACACCTGGAAATATGAGATAGTATGTAGCGTTTGTACTCGTAATTATGTACAATCTTATTGTAAAGTTATTAACACTAAACGTGTTACATACATTTCTCTCTCAGTATCTCTGAATATAATATTTCTTTAATTCTTAAATTAAAGAAAGTTTGCCTACGTTCCGTCTAAAACCATTAGAGAAACAAATTGAAAATTTAACCATTTCGACAGGAGAAATATTGTATACACTAAGGACAATTTCAATTATATAATACATGATAAATCATCAGGGTAAAGAATCTGCTTGTCGTTGGTTACAAATAATGGACAGCGCTGATGAATTAATATTTACTAATTATTACCAGCCAACACTTAGAAAAGGTTATACATCTTTCTTTTTGTTTGTAACAACTGACGAAATATATTTGTTGTTTTAATACACGTGATTTGAAAGGAGAAAAGCAAAATCCAAACTAAATATCGAAGCTCAACAACAAAGAATTGTAAAACACATCTGTATCGTTGGATTTTTGCTAAATTAAAAACATATTCAGTTTTGAAGGGTGGAGATTGGTATTAGTTTAACTATGACTTTAGTTCTTGATACAACACTACTTGTTCAACTCGGATTATATGCTTATCATTGTCGACGTAAATAATAGATATGAACAACATATTGTCTGGATTCTAAGGAATACACTCAGAATATAAACCTTAAAGTACAATGAATGCAATTTCAGGAAGCTTTGAACATTTTTGTCCTACTTTGAATAAATAAGTAACTTTTCAATAAGGATTAGTTAGTTTTCTTCCTTAATAAGTATGAACAGTTTGTCAATGGGTGTTAAGTGGACAATATTCATTCATATACAGAACGTGTATAGTTGGTACACAAAATATATCTACAATGTATAATGCTGCAGTAGAAAAGTGGAAAATAGTTGTACTTTCCAAACAGCGAACGAGAAAAAATCTTAAAAGATTTTATAGGACATTAACTACGATTTAGACAATAATTTAAAATACGAATCTTTTTGCTACACGTATTAATAAAGGCAATATTTTGAAATAATATTTCGTCATAAGCAGTTTGTCCCAAATTTGTCAAAATAAGCTCAAAACATTGCTGATGTATTATTGACTTGCAAGACAGCTGTTGTCCTTTCGTTTGATGTGTTTGTGCTTTTGATTTTGCCATTTGATTAGGGACTTTCCGTTTTGAATTTTCCTCGGAGTTCAGTATTTTTGTGATTTAACTTTTTTTTGTTAACCTCATTGAATTCGTATTCATGTCACCTTCAACTTAACCCCTTAGTTGGAGATGGTTTACGCATGTACTAGGCGTGCATAGCTATCAAAAGGAAAAAGAATGTCAACATTGAAAGTGAAACCAGGGTGATCCATTTGGGTTGACTGACTCGATCCACAAAAAAAAAATCATTATTATACAGGTTAAAACGATGATTTAAATATATTTTTTTAACCTATAGCATGAAATCAAACTAGGAAAATCCAATTGCACATGCTCCCTATCTATTTATATTTATGTTTATTTTGGATTATTACCGTCCAGAGTTTCCATGGGTAATCTTGATGGCTAATAAGATGGCGTCTAGACTAAAATACACAAAACATGCTGATACATATTATCGAGTCCATGCATTGTTTATTCTTTATGTTAGACTTTTTGTAATTTGGATATACGTTTTAGTATGTTATAAATCAAATATGAGAATTGGAGCCAAATCGGTGACCATGAATTTTACAGCTAATGCCCCTTTAATTAAAGTCATAAAATATTTGCAACAAATATCAACTTGAAACGTTTAATACACTATAATAGTAGAAATATCTCTCAATCTCAATGGAAAAAAACATGTCTATATTGGTTCTTCATTATGTATCTTTCGTATAAGAATGATACTAGTTTCTTGTTATTGATCGTGACTTTGTTACTTCGTTTAGAATTACATGTTTTCCGATAAAAATACAATAATGTATACATTATCAAAATGCTAGATATCATGAACGACAACATATCTGGGGAGTTTAATTAATTGATATTCGAAACTCCAATGGTAACACATTGTTCCACTTTGATAGTCAATTTTATTTTGTACTCATATGAAGGCTATTTCAATTGTTCATTAAATAAATGGGAAAAAAAACACTTAATAAAGTACATGCGTCCGAAGCGCTCGCCTGAATTACCATTCTACAGGAACGCTCAAACCTAAATATTTGAAAGCCAGGTAATTATAAGTATGTAGAAAAATTAAGAGCTATACGACCAAAAAAGGGACATACAAAGAATAACCAAATTCATCAGCTGTCAACTATGCCTTAGGAAGTTGGAACCTAAGTTTCGTATTAATCTCTTAATTTATCAACAGGGTTGTAAAGAAACAAGTTTGCATTAAATTAAGAAATCAAAATCTCTAATAAAAATCAAATTAATAAAGTTAACAACAGGTACCAAGGAAGATGTTATAGAGCACACATAGTCTAACGACTTACTATTTAAATGTATAGTATCCGTTCCACACCATTCCTCATGGTCACAGCAAAGCGGTATTGAATATGTCTGACGTAAGCGTAATCCGATGAACTATGTTTATACTCGGATCTTATACTGAAATAAACTGTTTTAAAAGAAAAAAAAGATATCAGATATCCAACCATAACCCAAAAAGCAAAGAGACAGCGCTTTTATTGTTGTTTTTCATCTCAAAGTCACAGTGAGGCCTTCAACACGGAGCAAAAAAAAAAACTCTCACCTCACAGCAAGTTTAAGACGGCCCCCGGCAACGGTTTGGGCGGAATTCTTTGCAAACTGACGACCACGCAAAAACTGAGGTTGAAGAACAAAGCATACTGTTTCCAAATGTTACGAACTGAATTGAGATATACAGAAGTTCAGATATTACGTTTTGATAACTTACATCATGTTCTATTTATCCATTACATCGCCAATAATGGTAAGAATAAGAATCTGTTGAAACGTAAACCTATTAAATTAAAACCGTATTTAGGATAACATGTATGCTTACGACTGACGATTACAAGGCTCAGGTTTGATAAGTTTGAGCACAGAGAGGCCAGAACATTGCATGTATTAGAAACTTTTCAAAAAGTGAAACAAAGCCTAGGGAGGATATACTCATCATACAATATAAAAAAGCGATTTATTTTTCTAATTTTATTTTACACAAAAAAGACGACTTTCGAAGAAGTATCTACAAAGAATGAGGGAAGAGTAAAAATGCTGAGAATGTACTGTAATCATTACCACTGACATCGCCTTTTCCATTGGTACCAGTTCGAACCCAAACATTTTCGCCTTTATTTACCTGGAATACAACAACAACAATAAACAATTAACTAACATACTCAGTGATGAACATTGCAGTGATTAAATTGAATGAATCGTACATGTTCAAAGGGGCACCATATCATTTGTCCCTTTTGGTTGATGAAAAGCTTTTCATTTGTTTAATAACCTTTGGATTTTTAAATGAATGACCCCGAGCATCATTGAAAAGACATTTATTGTCGAAATGCGCATCTGGTGCAGAAAAATATCATTATCAAAAGTGAAGACCCTTGTCTTGTTCATCAAAATTTTAACGACACTTTGGTAGATTTGAATTATTGATAGTTTCCCCTTTGTAATTCTGAAGGGTACTAACTGGGTTAGCAAAAGTCGTAGGATCGTGAATGTAATTAATGTACATATAAGTTTGAAATAATCTTCGCTAATTATATATATTAAGCGTTTTGTTAAAACCAGAAAACAATTGAACAATAAAAACGAGTTCATCTACCTTATAAAACCAAGGTATACATGAAATGCATGACTTTATAATTTTTTTATTTTTATATGTATTTGGCATCTCCAGTCAGTTGGTACGACAGTCTTCTAATGTTTTTGTCATGTATGTAATGAGGTGCTTATGTCAGACCATCGAGCGACTATGCTACCAATACCACTATGCCGGTACTACTACTGGTGGAATATTTGTTCCAGATGGCACCTTCCAACCATTAGCCTGTGTTTTGTTTTTAATGTTAGAAACTCCCTGCGGCACAGTTCACCTTAAGTTAGACTGCCTTGGTTGAACTATTCAGGCTCTTTCGATATTTAAACAGTTAGCAGTACAAAGTGTTTGTTTTTCCAAGGTTTTGATCACCATCATACCTAATGAATGTTACTAGTATTTCAAAACCACGTAAATAAATTAATTTGTTTTACTACCCCTGGGTAAGTACTGTAGTTGATGAACAACCAGTCTCCGAGACTACCCTCTTCCTAGTATCCAATGACATAAATGAGATATTTGTCATTGTACTTAAACTAAGGTTGACATTCCCTCAGGCAAAGTTGTCCTTTGTTTCTATGCATCCCACAAAAATGTGCAAGCAACACCTTGCTGACGTGTCAGCTTTTTAGTTCTCACTGCAATTCTGCAGACGACTTATCAAAGCAACTGACATTTTTATAATTACCTGCAAGACAACGGTCTGAGAGGCACTTCCATAGTCTCTGTCTTCACTACCGGCTGTGTCAGCAAAAGACCAAGCTTTAGATCTACCATTGATCATTAACTCTGTTGCCTGGGACTCCTGGTGGTCGACGTTAGCTGTCCAGGAAATGACGTACATGCCGGAAACTGGAGCGGTAAAAATACCAGTTGTCGTATCATAAAGGGATGTCTGTGTTGTTGTTACAAGCTAAAACAATATCAATTATTTAGCACAATATCAGATGTGGAACATCAAACAATGGCAACTTTAAATCAATCATCTGCCGCAGACTGTTACAAAAAAATATTTTAATTTATAAAGGTCATGCGTCCGAAGCACTTTTCTAGGTTTGGCTTCAGCATAAGTACATATTTTTCAGATCCTAGTGCTCATTGTTCCCCCAAATTAATAATTTAGTTACGTAAAAAATAAAAACAAATACCAGGCTTATGATTTAATACGCCAGGCGATGTTTCGTCTTCATATGAATTTTCAAAAGCGCTCGAATAAAAAAAAATTGAGATGACTTTTGGGGTATTTTAATGTTAGACAATATAGATAAATTGTTTCAAAGAACCCGTATGTAAAACACAAATTAGATTTTTACCAGCCTCCTTGATTATACTGAACGATGTGGTCCAAATACCTATGTATTCAAAAGGGAACCTTAATGAAGGAATTTTTTGTAAAGTCCGATTTAGATTTACGTTGTTTGTTGTAAACAGAATTATTTTGGTCGCGGTTCACATTATATAAATTCTGAAGAGACGGCAATTCAGAACTGCACCGACCAAAATGATTCATTACATTATAATGGTTTATATTATCAAATCAATAAATTGTTTCTAATAGGAAAGATCGTATTGTTTTTTATTTTAGTTTCTTTTCTATATTAATATGGTTCATTTTAGCAATTCAATAAATTTGTATTACAATTTTTATATAAGAAAAAGTTATTTATAATTTTAGTTTCTTTTTCTATGTTACGTTATATAACGTTCTTAGTTTATATTTCCCCCCTTTTTATGCAGCACAATATCTATAAAAATGACAAATCACGCTACAAAAATGAAATTACTTACAGCATCGAATATTATGGTTTGGTGAGGACTCAATCCATGTAAACTGGCAGACAGTTTTGCATAGAATGCAACCTGGGCTTCGGAAAAAGCTCTTCTTTGGACTGAAGAAAGAAATTGATACGATAGATACTAGTACACATGCATCAATTATGTATTGTATGCATACAATTTAATTTTTTGAAAGCAATCAAGTCAAATTTGGAAATGTAAACGAAGACTACACTATTGTTTAGAAACTAGTTTTGGACAGATGTGGAACTACAGGAATTACTGGAAAGCCTTCCAATGTCAGGAATGTGATGGTCACTATTCAGATAGTAGTTATTTCAACCCTTGATGCCACAGAGATTTGGTTGACCGTTATTAAATTTACGTGTTTAAGATTACTACGGATATGTTCCACTTGTAAAAGCTACAAACCTGTTCTCTTTTTTTTCCTTCTTGATATCAACGATTGTGACTTACTTGAAACGTGAAACCTACTACATGTGCCTTCGATGGAGCAGAAACTGCATACTTTCCAAGAACACATGAGTTCACCCCCAGTTTGTTTACAGGTTTTGCGTTGCTGAATGTTTAGTTTTCTATTAAGTGATTGAACACTGTTACTTTTGTCTCTTTTTTCTTCTGGTCATGGTCTTGTCAGGCTGTTTTCGATTTGTTGTTATTGATTGCCCTTGTGCCTCCCCATTTACGCGTAATCAATGCTTTCCCATAACGATCTTGTTTTAGATTTTACTATGTGTAATATATAATTGTACAGTTAGTTGCTTATATTTTGAGTTGACTTGTCATGCAGTTACTACTAAATGTATTAACTAATTATTAAATTACCGTCACGTCTATCTGTAAGTTGTTTGATATTTTTCTCGGCAGTTGTCAATCCTTCAACAAAGTCATTGTCCTTCTTCTTTGCGGATTCAAGTTTCGACTTTAAATCTCCGACAAGACTTTTCAAATCCTCAATCTCGTGCACAATGAAAGGAATAAGAGCATCTTCTATGTTCTGCACTGGTACAAGAGCACCTATCAATGGAATAAATACTGGTAAATAAACTAGAAAATGCATTGTTAAACAGGTGAAATGATTGATATAAAGTGAACAACGTTATTATCTCACAATCAAAGATAAGAATACAATGGTACTATATATATAAATCCGAAGGATTGTACTTAATGAGACATTTTTTCACCTCGAACTTTCTAAATAGGTCACAAAGCGAATGAAAAAAGAGGAAGGACCAATTTTCCCTGTATTTAATTCATGCTTAATCTTTAAGGCAAGACAAAAAAACAAAAAACAAAAAAACAAAAAACAAAAAACTGTAAATCATTATTTTGTGGTTGATATTTTATAGACTTTCAAACGAAACGTCGTTACTTGTGCAAGTGGTCTATATTTTCAAACATCTTTGGATCATGCCTCTACGTCTATCAGCTTCTTTTCTATTAGGAAGCTACCATTTGATTTTTAAAGGGGGGATGGGGGCTAGGATGAAAAATTTTGTCCTGCATTTTTTTATAGTTGTAATCTCTGACCTGCCTCTTTATTTTTCACTCTATTCGGTCCTGCCTTTTTTTTTTATTAGTTTATCCTGACTTTTTTTTACATAAATTGTCATCCTGCCTTTTACTCAAAACTCCTGTCCTGCCTTTTTCAAATTTCATCCTAGCCCCCCCTCCTCCCCCCTATAAAAATCAAATGGTAGCTCCATTATCTAGATAATGATGCATCACTTCAATCTCATATTTCAACAAACCTTTCTCATATGGTTACTACATTTGAGGAAGGCTATATAAGATTTATTTTGCAGCCGCACCTTTTAAAATGCTTACTCCAGGTCCGTTTAAACATTCCACAGTTCCTTTACTGAATTGTCAGTAAAAAATCGACTACTCTCCCCTCTTTGAAATGATTTGTGGAAAGTCGAAGGTACACCTTTGTCCATGTTGAATACTAAGAGTTAGTGTAAAGTGTCAGAATAGGACATAATTCATTGTAATGGCGTGTAACATAAACAGCAGGGCACAAGATATTTAAGTTGGTGATCATTATATTGATAAATGGACTGAACATCTTTTTTTCATTATACACTTTTTCACAGGGTTAAGTTTGTGCGCGCTTACAACTTGTTTAACAGAACCTCATTTCCTGATTATGAAAATTTCTTTTGTTCGTTGTATATTATTTTCTGAGAGGAGTCGGTTGATGTTGGTTGGCATAGTCTGGCGTACTGTTTGGTAATTCATATCATTTTTCAATGCATTAAACTGACGTATTCAAATGTTGACACATTTGAATTTTAAGTAAAAATTGTGGAAAGTCGGTTGCAAGTTACTTTCTACACATGCCATGGAGACAAAGGAAGAAACAGAGCAGTATTACACTTTCACGGATGTTTACAGTCTCAACTTTTTTTATAGTTACATGTATATTCATTTCCGTAAAACTTTTGACTTTCAATTTGTTATTTTACTGAAATATTAGTGTAAACATTTTGTTGATGCTCAAATCTCCTTTTGAAAATCATGTACAAAGATTAAGAATCCTTCTGCTAATGTCGAAAACCTAGTAATAATTTAAAAAAATGTATTATCTCAAACTACTAGACAATTTTTAACAGTATATTTCATAAGTACTTGATATAATAAAAGCTGAAAGTCTTTTGTTTTTTTACTTAATGTCATATCAATATTTAATTTCAGAGTCTTTATCTGATCATATAATGTACCTTAAAGATTTTTTACAATTAAACATGATAATCCTAATGGGAAAAAAATAAGCATCCTTGAAAGCTGCCAGACATTTACAAAACTTTAATGGATATTCAAAGTAGATCAAAGGATTTTAATACTTTTCAGAAATGCGTGACAAAAGCGAGGAAATCAATTTACAAAAAAATATATTATATATTTTTTTGTTTTCCTGTAGCTGCTAATGGGATGGTAATATTTTCTCAGTATTCAGAGCCATGCTATAATTTACACATTTTGTCTGTAAATTCCCATTAAATATTAAGTATCTATAGAAAAGCTAGTTGCAGACGTCCACAATTTAGACATGCATTATACATTATACATTACTTACGTATCGGACAAATCAGAGCAGTATGGGTTTTTCATTGTTGAAGGCCGTACGGTGACCTATAGCTGTTAACTTGGTCTCTGGTGAAGAGTTGTCTCATTGGCAATCATACAACATCTTCGCATTTTTATCCATAAATAATGCATTTGTAATGGCCAATGAAGCTTAAGAGTTATTTTGCAGTTGAAAATTTTTGTCTGATAAATGGGAGATAATCCAAAAGGAATAATGTGCCATGTGCAAATGCATTTGTATGTATACGAATCTTACCAGATGATTTAAGGGTGTACCAAACACTTTGTCTAAAGATAGATTTGGCTCGTTTAATTTTCATTAAATCTTGACTAAATATTTACTTTGACGTGTTGACAAGAATAGAAAAATTTAAAGATATTTCAACCACACTATTTACATGAACAATTTCATTGGATATATAGTAGTTTGACAAACACTTAGTTTGATCATTGAGAACCTGGATTTCTCTTTATTAAAGTATGTGATTAAAACGTTCGGCTGATTTTTAAAGAGTTAACTCCCTTAGGTGTTCTGTACCCCATTAAAGAAAGCTCTATGTAATCTTAGATGTTTTAATCATAGGCTCCCTATTGAAAAGGATCGATTTTGAACGTGGTGACAGAATTTGTGCCATGTGTAATAAAAACAAATTAGGTGATGAATATCATATTATTTGTTTGGTTGTACGGTTTTTCCGTAAGGAAATACAATTATTATTATCTTTATTTCATCACCAAACATCATATCGAAAAAATGTATTAGTTGTTTAATTCTGACTCCTAAAGTGTTATTTTTTAAAAAACAATTCATAAAACATAACATAGAAAAGAAAAGAACTGAGCAACACGAACCCACTCAAAACCAGGGGTGATCTCAGATGCTCCAGAAAGGTAAGCAGATCTGCCTAAAACGCTCTATACGTAAGAAAATTAGGACTTATGTAAAAAGTCGCGCGCCTCCATTGAGGTTCCATGCAAAGTTGTTCTCTTTATGTTTTTTTGGTTTTTCGTGTCGTTCGGTTGCTGTCTAATTGACACATACCCGACGTCTTCCTTTATTCACACTTAAGACGATACCATGTACATAAAAATTGTTATATAACTTTTTTCCATCAGGTCCAATGTGGATAAAAAATAATTCAAATGCCATAAGTCTGACTTTTTACTAGCATTTCCATATATAAAAAAGTAGTGTGATGAACAAGATTTCACGGCAAGCAAATCTTCCCATATACATGTATGACCGTTATTTCCGGTTCCAACAATCTATGCATTTTTGAGAGAGGTCTCCAGTCTGATCGGACATCATGATTGTTGGTAACCTATCGCTCTACAGAAGTTGTTAATATGCTTTGTTCTTCCCAAATTGTTCAGGTAAATATGTGTGGTATTTTAATTATTTGTAATTACTATATTTAACCAACAATTACATAATCGCAATGTCTGGCATTATGCAACTAAATGCTTTTGAAATCAGACGTAGATAACTGAATTAACAAATAATAAATTGAGAAGTCGTTTACTTATGTGTGGCTCATTCGATATGTTTAGACAACATGGCTTCTGTAGTCATCTTCAGGAATAGGATTACATTAATATTAATGTACCAACCAGATGCTTGTCAGACAATATTCTTTTAAGCAGGTGCGATGTATTCTAAATTTTCAAATTGATTTAAAATAACTTTATTTTTAAAAGTGCTCTATTTAATAATCAGTTATGACAAGCACGTTATAGCAGGTTAAAGCTTTGCTCAAAAGAATCTCAATGTAACCTCGTGTACTATGGAATGGTATATATACATGAGGCATACCCAATTTCTAGGTATCACAAAGTCTATATATGTTCCGTGTTTGGAAAGAAATATATGGATAGTGCACAATGCCATTAGATTAAACAAAACACCTTTGAAGTTAGGAAGCGTTGTGGATACAAAATGTCAATATGGTCACCTCCATCCGGCAGTGAAACCACAGGGGTTTGTTTAGTGGGTAGGACGAGGTTTTACTGTCGTCTATATAAAATACCAATATATAGAGTAGCGACCGCCATTGACAGTAAAATCTCGTCTGACCCACTAAACTAGCCCATGTGAGTGAAACCTCTGCTAAAGAAGGACGTTAATTTTTTTTATGTTCTTGATGTATAAATTCGCAGCCACCTACAATTAGAGAGGAGACATTAAATTCTATTCCTATATAGAAAGTGTGCCACAATCTCTTATTTGTACTTATTTTTAGTATTATGACATACTTATAAGACAACAAAAAAAATGATAGGGTTCGATTCATATTCCGGAATCAACTCCTCCCTGCTTTACGGTTCGCATAGCAATACTCATATCGTTTGAGTATAATTAAATCAGTTAGGGATGAGTTATTTAGTTGATGATAGCTTATAAATTTGAATAACTGCAAGTAATATATAAAACACATTTTTTATACTTTACACTATTGGGTTCTTTCATGATATTCCACATTTTTCTCTTGTGGAAAAGTATATGTTAAAGACCGTTACAGATGGTGTAAAATTTCACTTGTTAAGATTATACAAGAAAACAGCGCTAATGTGCCAAGGAAAAAACTGAATGATAAATGTTTTTAACTTTTTAAATATGATAAGCGACACGTTTATTGACACAAAGTCTGCAGATATAACAGAGTAAATAAATTTTGCATGAAGCTTTATTTATTCCTTCTTAATAAAGGTCTCACAGTGGCATGATAAAACAATGTTAAATACGTTAAACAATTTAAACCACGAACATACATCTATTGGGCTCCAGAAAGGTACATACCCCCTTAGGTCACATGGTCACGTTTAGAAATTGCCTCCCTCGTCCCACCCTTCCCCGGATTTGATCATATTGGAGCCACATATATACAAATATTTCTAGTGTGTTCAGTTTGAAGGAATTTAATGTACGTACAAATTTACCATAGTTTGCTAAACCAAAAAGAATATGTAATTTT